CACCTGATGATCTTTTATAAATTGTCGTGAAACAAGTTTAAAAGACTGTTTTATTAAAAAAAAACCACTATGCAATAACAAAATAAGCTAAAATATAAAAATCAAAACCAGAATTCCTCTCTTTTTCATGACTATTTAACATATTAATTATTTCATTTTAGGAAAAAAAAGTTTGATTATTATATTTATTGGATTAAAATATTGGGGCTGAGCAAAACTCAGTTAATAAAGTGCTTGCCTTCCATGCCCAAAAGATATTTCAATCCACAGCACCCCATAAACCTAGTTTAGTGACAAAATCCTGTAATCCTAACACTAGGAAACTGCAGGCAAGAAGATAAGTTCAAGGTTGCCCTCAGAGTCACAGGGCGTGTGAAGCCAACCTGGGCTAGAGATCATACATGTATACTTCCTATTGACCACTGCATGTTGCCCTGTAAGGTAAAGCGGTAAGTGAACAGGAATTAACTTTCAAATAAAATTCTAAAAATTGAAATACCCATTAGGGAAAACAGGAAGGCATGTCCACATGATCTCAAAAGGCAGATCTGACATATATTGAGATCAATCTTCTGTATTTTTCTTTTTACAGACATGAAATAAATAGCAATGTGGCAATATCTGTAAATTTACTAAAGTGGATTCATTTAATACAGCAAATTCCATTGCCATTAATAGACACACAAAATGAGACAGAACATGGTAGTACCTGTCTTTAATCTCAGACCTCAGAAAGCAGAGGCATGGGTTTCACTGTGAGCTTAAGGCAATCTGATCTAATCTGGTTCCAAGCTAACCAAAGACCTATCTCCATGGGAAAAAAAAATATAGCAAATGGAAATTCAAGACTCAGAAGGTGTCATTGAAAATAATAACTAAATCCATCTATATAAATTCAAAAAGGGTAATGCCCATCACTGAATTGATAAGAATAAACTCAAGGTGGTATTGAAGTGAAATATGTGACAGAAGAAAACATATTGAGTCAAAGAGTAGAAGTGTTACCAAAGGGCAGAAATGATAATTAAAGAAAACAATAGCTGCATTTATTTCATTTGTGTCAAAGAGTAAAATCTATTTGAAACTTTCAAAGCAAGTTACTGAAGTAGCTCGGTCAATAATAAATAACTATAAATAAAATTTTCATGGCAATAAAATGAACATGAAAAAGAAACAAAAATAATAAAGATCACATTAGAAAAGCAAATACGTTCTAAATGAAAAACAAAGTAGGAAAATCGTCCCAGAAATAAGAAATAAAGTGAAATTACAAATTAAAACTTCCTAAAATTTACACAACTACATTTGAATACTCCACAAAGGAAACTGTTATCTACATCTCAGATTGAAAATTTATACAAAACCATCGACAGTTGAATGATAATGAAGGTGATTTTGAACACTTCAGTGACTGTTGCTTGTTGCAGATAATGTTCTGAGGAAATACTGAAGGACACTTTTTTCTCAAATATAAGTGAATATATTATTCTCACATTTTTTCAAACTTGAATAAAACAAATATTGATAAAAATTCAAATATATATTGTCAATATAGCAAAATACTGACACTAAGCCTGAAGGAGAAAGAGCACACACAATAATATTGAATTTCATCTATGAATGTAACAGAGTAACATCTTTACAATATAATTCAGCTAACTATTTTAAGAATTATTATAACATAAATTATATAAACATGAATTATTCTATAATCTGAATCAATATTATGAAATTTTCTACATAATATATTGTACAGAAGGTTTCAATAAATCTTTAAAGAGGTTGAAGAATCCTATTTAATTTGAAATTTTAAAATATGAATATAGCATAGAATATACCTCTTTTAAATAATATTTTAATTTATTCATTGCAAATTTCATACTTGTATACATTATATCTTGACCATATGTACCTTTTATTCTCATCCTCTAACTTCCAACAGGATCCCCCAATACTTCTTCCTCTGAAATAAATGTCCTATTTTGTTATCATTTTTATTCCACTGAGTTGAATTAGTGCTCCCCATATATACATGGGTGTGGAGAAATCCCGTTGGGCATAAGAAACATATCAATGACACAGTAGCAAAGCAAACTGGCTTCCTCTCTCCCAACAACAGTGAGCTACTAATAGTTCCTCAGGTAGAGGTGGATCTCAGGAGTACTTCTTGCTCCATGCTGAAAAATTTGACTGCCAGGAATTTTTTGAAGATAATCAGAGCTTCTGTGAGTTCTTTATGAACAAAATCCACTGCATATAGTTTTAATAGACAAATAAATAATTATGTAAGGCAATTCAAATAGTCACTGTGTTTTTTGTGTTTCTCAAGGGAAACCAAAATAGAGCTGTCTTTTACAGTGCAATAGAAGACTGGTATCTAAAGGATATGAGAGCATCAGTGAACAGAGTCAAATATTTCTGGACCCCAACAAGAACAGTTCAGATACACATATGTGTGAAGTAAAGCCCACACGTGTTCTGTTTTCACAGCACTGAAGACTTAAAAGATGCAGATACAATAGTCCCTCTAACCATTCATTTTCTCTAGTGTTGATTATTCCTAATTTACTATGCCCCAAAACATGAACAGAAATTTCTAGTAGTAAATAGTTTATATATTGTAAGTTGGGTGCAGTATAAGGTTCTGATTCAGATGTTTGTTCCCCAAAAGTTCAAAACACTAAGGTCAGGTAAGAAGTTAATCCTCATGGTGACAGTAGTGGGATGGGATAGTACTTAAAATTGTGGGAAACCCACTCAGAGGAGCATCTTCTGTGGTGATATATTTTATACCCTAATAAAATCTGCCTGAAGATCAGAGAACAGAACAAACCATTATATTAAACATAGATGCCAGGCAGCGGGGGCACACACCTTTAATCCTGGCACTTGGGAGGCAGAGATCTGTCTGGATCTCTCTGAGTTCAAAGCCATCATGGATTATATGTGACTGATTCAGTCTAGGAGAAAAACAGAGCCAGGCAGTGGTGGCATACACCTTTAATCCCAGTACTTGGGAGACACATGCCTTTAATTTCAGCACTAGGAAGGAAGTAATATGGTTGGGCAGAGAAACGTATATAATAAGGCTTGAGGAGACAGGAACTACAGCTTTTTTGGCAGAAGCCCTTTTTCGCTGAACCTTTTCAGCTGGACCCCTTTCGGCTGAGGACTCAAGAGACTTTCAGTCAGAGGATTTGCGAAGTTGGCGAGATGAGAAGTGGCTGTGGCTTATTTCCTCTGATCTTTCAGCACTTACCACAATATCTGGCTACGTGTTTTTGTTTTTGTTTTTTAAATTTAAAAACCCTATTAGAATTTGAGCAACAATCTTTAGTCTTCAGGATCTTGTGGACCCAATCTCTCCCTAGTTTCCTATTTTGAGATGTAAAGCTTTTCCTCACGGGCACTTTATCACATGTTCTGTGGCCCTTGTCAGAGGCACCACTATGCTACTTGGACCCTTAATATCTGAAACTTTTAGGTAATTGTGACCAATATTTTTATTCTTTATAGACTTTATGCGTCAGATACTTCATTATAGCAATGAAAATCAGATTAATGAAAAAAATATGACAGGATTTTGAGTTGCCCCACCCATATGCCTGACATGATGACTGTGGTATCATTTTTCCATAGGGTCATTATTGTATATGTTACTTACCAACTAATACCTTGGTAGCTTAGTAGTAATCTGTGATATAGGATGCACATATATCAAATAATATATGTTTTACAACTCCTGTGTTACTTAATATTCCCTCTGCAGTGTAAGAAGAGTGATGCTCAAGAATTGCAAATAACAAGAAACCCTCAGTGTTTCACCTTGAGAAAAGGCTCTCTATCTAATAAGGAAAGAAAAAGGTTTGTATATGTATGGCACCATAAGATATTTTAGAAGAAAAACCATACTTTTATAATCTTGAATAATGTATTAGCACAATTACCCTCGGTCTTTCAGTTATTTTAAACATCTACTATGCTTAGTTTATAAATTAAATTATATTATGCACTTACAAATGTATACAAAGAAAACATATTGAACACAGGTTTGGCAAAACTTATGTCAGTCATTCACCACGCTGCTCAGATCATATCCTCGAATGATGAGATGCCATGATTATTTCATGAGAAATCACATATACACCTTTCTCAGACTTCAATAGACTTGATTGCGATATGGTATGAAGGGTCTATGAGGAAATACTGAGAGAGGGTCCAAGCATTTGATGCAGTAAAGACATGAAACTGAACAAAGATATATTTTCCAACCTCCCCAAAATACTGAAATCCTGAGCCTCTTGAGAAAAAAAACAAAAGATATATTTTCCCACAGGATGTTTCTTACATGGGAATCCCTGATAGTGCTTAACAGCTCAAAGAAAGAAACAGAAAATAATGTATTAAAATAATTAACGATATGAGAGTAAGTGCACTCTCAGTGTTGAACAAAGTAAAAAGACTTCATTCAAAACATGTTGTGAAGACTTTCAAAATTAGATTAAAGCACAGTGACCACTGTATATTTATTTATTAAGGTTTTCCACTTACTATACATTATTAGCAAAATAAAGCACCCTACCTCCAAAATAAGGCATAGTTCCTGATCAATGTTCTAAGAACTTTGTTTGCGTGGAAAGGGAAATTTGGCATCCTTCAAAGATGGAACTTTTTGATGATAATATGACACTGAAATAATGAGATTATGTTGGAGTATAGGTAACTGAGTTTAATTAGAGTTACTTTAAAACAGAAGACAGTGAAGAGTTCAGGGTCAAAAAGTAATTTAAAAATAATATAATTCTACTTTTGAAATGAAGAAAAGGTCAATTAATAAATAAATTCCAGCTGTAAGGAAATAAATTTATATCAATATATAGTCTATACCAATATAAAATATTTGAATGAATAGCTGTCTTTTTTATCACATATCCCATATTCCTACTAAATGACGACGAACGTTCTTAACCCATCAAATAACCAAAGATCACACACTATACCTCTTGGGAGTGTGGTGTTACATTCTCTAGACTGTTTCGTGTTGTCTGTGGAGGAAGACATCTTTTTAGGGGACCTGCAAAAATTGAAATAATGGGTAAGTCCTGAGAAAAATCAGTTGTAACATTTGCTACCCAGTCTGTGCAATGGGAAAGCACAAGACTTATATGCAGTCCTAGTTAGAATAGTCTGTGAGGCTAGACCATCTCAGCCAGCAGCTATAGATGAATTTCTAAATGGTCTTATTAAGTAAAAAACACGGCACCAGATATGGGGTAAAAACCTGAGAGATCAGGGAAATAGAGAAAGCCATGGCTAACCTTACCTCACCAACTTCGCAGCTTCCAAAAGCAAGCTACTTCCTGTCTACCCATGCCTATACGCCTTGCTGTTCTGACATTTGATTTGCTCTCTCTGTCCAGCTACATCACTTACTCTTCTTGCCCAGCTCTGTCACTTTCTGTATGTTTATACAGACCTCCAGACCTCCATAGTTAATTAGTGTTGGAATTTAAGACACATGCCACCACCACCATTCCTGGCTCTGTTCCCAGTGTGGCCTTAAACTCACATAGATCCAGACAGATCCCTGCCTCCCAAGTGATAGGATTAAAGGTGTGTACTACCATAGCCTGACTTCTATACAGTGACTGGCTTTTTCCTCTCAATCTCAGGTAAATTTTATTGGGAGACACAGTATATTGGGGAATCAATACATCACCACAAGCATCCTTGAAGCTGTTTTGAATACAGAACTCAGAGGAAACTGCAAAAGAGATACACTGAGAGGCTAGATCACCTGGGCCACCCATTTTCATTGGTGTATGGTCACCTTGCTCCGAAAACACATAAACTTTCAAAAGCAGCATACATACCTGCATTAACAAAAGTATGGACTGTGTGTTGTACACAAGCTAGCCAAAGATGATTTTTTGTTTTTATGATGAAGCAGATAAAATATATGTCAGCTATCTTGTAGTTTTTCTAGGTTTATTTCTTTATGTCTATGACCAGGATTTTCAGGTTTTCCCCAATCAAACCTGATCTGTATTAACCTTGAACAAATCCACAACCTTTCATTTCCTAGTAAACAAGAGCATAACCTCTTCCCCAAAGCAATACATTTTTTTTTTTTTGAGTTCTATTTTAAAGTTCTATCTCTAAAGTATCTAGGCTGGTTTAACTCAGCAGTCCCTTTCACAAACTCATGTCTCCCAGCAGCTGTCATTAGCTCATCATCATTCAAAAAATTCAAAATTAACACAACATATGGGATCCAGACTCCCTGTGTATTTCCCATCCCTATGTGGCTTGACTTTTTAAAAATTATTTTATTTTTCTTTTGTAAGACTTTATTAGCCAGGCAGTGGTGGCGCATGCCTTTAATCCCAGCACTCAGGAGGCAGAGCCAGGTGGATCTCTGTGAGTTCAAGGCCAGCCTGGGCTACAAGAGTGAGCTCCAGGAAAGGCACAAAGCTACACAGAGAAACCCTGTCTCAAAAAAAACCAAAAAAAAAAAAAAAAGACTTTATTATTTTTAAACTCTTAATTTTTTTCTATGACTATCTATATTCTTTTTCTTTTCTTTCTTAAGCCTACACACATTGTTAAACACACTGGTACCTGTTTAGAGGTTTGTTTGTTTGTTTGTTTTTCCATTTGAGCCTGCATTGCTACATATCCTTAGCCTTTCTTGTCTACATGAGTAAATCCTTAAACTGAAATTACTAAGTGGCTTTGCACTGGTGGCCCTGGCAGCTGGCTCTATCCTGCTCAGGTGAGTGATGAGTTCTATGTCTAGCAGACCTGGCCTAGAGCTGCATTTTCTTAACTCGGACCCTAGTGTATCTCCCCAGCTCTGGGCTGCTGGGACTCACACTGCATCAGGCAATCCCTACCCAGTATGTGGTTTCTATTTGGTGTACTGATATAGTGGAGACTCTTAAAAGAGCCCTCCCCCACCCCACTTTTTTAAGCTTTCGAAGGCCCTAAGTGAAAATATGGGTCCCACCTTGGGACACCAAAATGTGGTTGGCCTTCAATTTTTTTTTTGGGGGGGGGGAGTGGGGAGTCTCCACCCAGCTCCAAATAAAGACACAGAGACTTATTTTTAGTTACAATGTCCAGCCTTAGTTAAGCTTATTTCTCACTAGCTTTTCTAACTTAAATTATCCTGCTTCTCTTCCTCTACATTTTGCCTCTGGGTTTCTTACCTTTCCTTAGTCTGTATGTCTTTTTTTTTTTTTCCCTTACTCCATGGCTGGCTATGTGGCTGGCTCCTGGCATCTCTGTCTCTCTCCTTTACATTCTTCTCTCATTCTTTTTTCCTTTTCTTCTCTCAAGCCTAGATTTCTTCTATTTATTCTCTCTGCCTTGCAGCCCCATCTATCCTTTTTCTTCCTAGCTATTGAATATTCAGCTCTTTATTAGACCAATAGGACCAATTACACCTTAGGCAGGCAAGATGAAACAGTTGCAACATATCTTTAAGTAATTGAACACACATCCTTATATGATTAAACAAATGCAGCATAAACAAAAACAACACACCCTTATACAATTAAGGGAATATTCTGCATCATAAACACATGTAACATCTTTGCCTAGTTAAAATGATATTCTTCAGCAGAGAAATATTTTGATTCTTAATGTATAACGCTGTTCTGAAAACAGTGACTTAGTCACTATTCTCTAGAAACTTCATTAGCTATGATTACTCATACAAGACTCACATAGATTAAGCCTATTAACATTTGATGATGAAGGATATACAGTTTTTGAGTCCCCACCCCTCCTTGAGAAGATCTAAGTGGTTAACAGTTATTGAGGGAAGAGGCTTTTCAGTGGTGTGCTGCCCCATGGGTTACCAATGCTCCTATTTGTAATCCATCAATCATATTCCTATAACTTATCCTGGTCAAAATCACTGGTTCATCAAACTATACATGGGTGAAATTGTTAGTTTAATCTATCATTATTCCCTATCTGAAGTGATTTGATGTTTGTTGAACTTCCCATGGAAAGTCCACACAACTTCTAATCTCTAGAATGGTGATAATGTTGTTTTATCTTTAGATATCAAATTTGTAGTAGTTTGATACACCAATAACATGAGAACTATGCATCACAATTATATGACTCAGTTTTCATTATCCTATGTATTTATCCAAACTGAAAAATTATGCTCTCACAGACTCACAGATATATTTTTTATGGTACTGTTGCAATTGATAATTAGATTTGGGAATTAGTGGATAAAAAGGTGTGGCATAGTCTCATAATATATAATTACTTAGAAAGGAAAGATAATTACTCACAAAAAAACCCCACAAAATAATCTACTTTTGATTAATGCATTTTCGTCAGTAAGATCTATAAAATGTTGTGTAGAATTCCACATATTTTATATGGTAAGAAACCTAATTGTGAAAGTGTAGGAAAGATTAATTGTTGTAATTTGATGAAAATAAAATTTTGTAAACTCCTAGTAAGACAAAAAGATAATTATTTACAAATAATTTTGCAGACAGTTTCAAAATTAATACCATATTAAGATATTAAAAATAATATGAAAACCTGGGTGTAAAGATGCATGCTTATAATTCTGTTACTCAGAAGCTGAGACAAAATCATCACTGCATAGCCACATCTGACTTGGGCTACATATTGAGTTGCAGGCTAGTCCAGGGTGCAGAGTAAGATATTGTCTAAAAAAATATGTGCAAGCATGCACATATAAATCATGAGAAACTTGTGTGCATTCAAATATTTATTGTTTGAGTACTGCATTATGTTAATTATTTTCTTTTGAAGCATTTATTTTATGTATATGAGCAGATTCCATAGATTTATCAAGTTAAAATTGTTTCATATTTTTACTTTTGTATTGAAACAATTATTTTACTTATTTCTATGTGTTGTTTAGGTTCATTTCTTTAAAACACTTAAGTCTTAACAAGAGCATAAAATTTGTTTTTGCAGAGAAAGGGATAGTAGCACAAAAATGATGCATGCTATTCAGTGTCAAACACACACTAAATATTACCATAATAAAACAAGTTATAGCATAATATATGCTGGTGTTTTTTTCATTGTTCTACAACAGAGCTTCAAAAACGAACAATTGTTCCTGGAGATGGCTCATAATACCCCCATACATAGTTAAAAATTCAAAATAAAAATAAAACCACATAATCATTTGGAAAATTTGAACACTAATAAACTCAGTGTAAAATCATTTGTTTTCATGAATATGTCATTATAATACCAGGGTAACATAAAAAAAATAGTTAATTTGGAAATGTGGTATATATAAACTGTGACCCTACTTTTTACAAATAATGAAGAATAATCTATGCTATTTGCAGGGAAATGGATGAAACTGGAGATAGTCATATTTGGTAAAATAACTCAGACTAAAAATAATATACAATTTCATACATAGAAAGTATATGTTATATATATAATTACATGTGTAAATATATTTATTTTACAAAATATATAATTATATATTTTAATATATTAAAATATGTGCTATATAAAATATATATTAGTATATGCTGTAATAAATATATATGTTTATGTATATATTTTATAAAAAGTAAAGGAAAAGCTGTCTATGTCAATGGTTCTCAACCTTCCTAATGCAGTGACCCCTTAATACAATTCTTCATGTTGTGACTCCCAGCCATAAAATTATTTTCATTGCTACTTCATAGCTGTAATTTTGCTACTGTTATGAGTCATAATATAAGTGTCTGTGTTTTCTGATGGTCTTAGGTGACCCCTGTGAAAAAGCCATTTGACCCCCAAATGGAGAACCACTTGACGAGTTGAACAAACAGAACTGAAAAAAAAACAGAGAGGTGAGAAAAGGGAGAATAAGGATTGTAGTCAAAGTATATTGTGTACTGCAGGAATACTTTCTTCCATAACAGAGCATTTTGTACAATGAATTTATACATATCATTAGTAAAAATTACATAACTATTGAAGAATATTTTCCAGTATTTAATAGAAAAATATTAATATAAATAATATTCTAGTTAATAATTAGAAGTAGCATACAAATTAAGAAGATGAGGAATTAAATAAAATTTTTCAGAGGTCCCAAATAACTTACTGAATATGAATGACACTATCCATAGAGTACATGCAACCAGGCTCATCTGAAAAAATATTTTAAAAATAATTAAAAGGAAATAAATGAAAAAGGTTCATCTGTCTTTCCTTCACAAAAAGGATAAAGATTAAGACTATAACCATAACATCAAAAAGTAACTGAAATAAGCTATTCTCTTTAATATTTAGAGTGGTGTTTAGTAATGGGGTAGCTATTAACATATGTTATTATTTAAAATTAATCAAATTGAAATGAAAGTCATTCGATTAGTTATATTAACAAGATTTCAGGTCTTACCTAGGTAGTTTGTCTTACTAATCGACAAATTTTGAATGTTTTTAAAAAGATGTGGTTTTCCTTATATTTTGAATAGCTCTTTGCTGGAGAATAATTTACCATAACTGAATTACAAAACAACTTGCATTTACATACAAATGCAGATAGTCACTCAAAAAAATAAAGAATAATGAACAATTTCATGAGATGGGATCATCACTCGACATTTCCTATGCATCTGCACCAAATGTAGCTTCAAAAATAAAATATTTTTCTGAAATTTATTTTTAATTGTCTTTATACACTATCATTTGCAACAGGAAAAGAAAGTGAATCACTTATGGTATAAGTAGAATATCACAAAACAATAATTTATTTCCCTCTGATAAAAGCATGTTTGTTATAGTAAATTGATTTTCTTTGATATTGGGTTTGGCAAATTCTTTCTGGATATAATTTCAAAACTAAGCTAAAAAAAACCTAAAATAATGTAATTTCATCAAACTCTAACTTCTACACAGCAAAAACAATAGTCTGAAGAGGCACAAAATCAGAAATTATTTCTAAATAAGGCATCTGATGAAAGGTTAAAATCTATAATATGCAAGGTCCTGAAAGTCACCAGTGAATAAACAAATATCAAATTTAAATTATCAATGGTTGATAATAGAGATTCTTTCAAATGAAGTTATATAATAGTCAAAAGGTAGATGTATTGAAGTCAATATATGTATAAGTGTGTAAAAAATAAATCCATGAAGTTCACCAAACTTCAGGAACAAACAAGATGAAGAAAACTATTCCAAAGCACATTATAATCAAACCAGTGGCAAAAGAGATGTCTAAAAAAGAACTAAGAGAATAAAAGCCCATATTATAATGCTGGAGAGAAAAGAATAATAATAAAAAATAAGTGTCTGCATTTAAGCAATTTGCTGAGTGGCTTGCACTCCCATTTTGTTACGATTTCATTTAAAATAATGAATGTATAGTTCCACGTTAGAGTGAATCATTGTATTAATGATTAAGAATATATGATATATTGACACACTTCTTTAGCCTTGAAAAATAAGGTAATCTTTTTACTTGTTACAGCTGATGGAGACTAGAAGACATTAGCTTATAAGCCAGGCAAATAAAGAAAATTCCTGAACGATATCACTTATTTGTGGAGTAAAAAATGCTCAACATAGAAACAGAGCTATGAATGATGTTTATGACATGCTAAATTTCCAGGGTACTGTTAAAGATACTGATCCAAACAGATTATAAATTAAATGGAAGAAAGGAATTAAAGACCTCTGTTGAACATTGTTGAAACTACAGTTAAAGGCAGTACGTCAAATACTAGAAAATTCCTACATTTATTGATTACAAATGTTGTCATCAAGCAGGAAAAAAATAACTATGTGAGATAATACATAAATGAAACAGCTTGATGTAATCATTCTTCTTTGTACATATGTGTCAAAACACCATGCATACTGTGTATATACATACATACATATATATTTAATTTTGCATAACTAAAAGACTATGTTTAAGATGACTAAAAAGTAGTAATGCATTTGAAGAGAGGGTCTCCAAGTTGATAATAAAAAGTGCTAATTTATTTTTATTTCTCTCTTCAGTTTAAAACTTGTACTTTGTGTTCATGTTTTTACAAAATAGACATAGTAAAAATAAATTTAAACATCTATAAACACATCAATATGTAAATCCTATTGATTCAGCCAGAGTAATTTCCAAAATGTGGAAACTATACATTAATCCAAATAATGTGATTATGAAACATGAGACTAAATTATTCAAAGTATTGACAGGATTTATCATTATGTCTATTAACAGTGTGTTATTAGGGACTCGCCTTTATATTAAACCATCACTGAGATACAGCTATGTTTTACAAGAAACCCACTGCTCTCTTCAAAACAGTATTTTGAGAACCACAAAAGTAGAGCTTATGTGAAAAATCTGTGTCCGGTGTCTCCAAGGTCAAAGTGTGAGACAGGAGACACGGTCTGTGAGTGGGGACAAAGGAAGGGACAGATCAAAACCAAAAGCTGCAATAAGTGCTTCTGGTTTTAATAAGGTAGTTTCCTTGTTTGCTCAAAGGTTGTACATAAGTGCAAGTGAAGTCTGAGAAGTGACTTCGGATTTTTAAGACTGAGGCTATGCAAAGGAGGCTGACACTTTGTAGACACTGGATCAATATCCTCATTTCTTTCTGTAAAAGACTGAAAAATGACAATTAGTTTTGAAAGGAAACCTATTTCAGCAATGCGATACTATGCTTTCCCAGATAAATCTAAGTTTTTCATTACCCTTCTGTGACCTCCCCAAATTTTAAACCCAGAAATAATTTCATGGTTCTAGATGAATCATGAAATATGAGAGACAGACAATATTGTGGGAAATGTATTACTCTAGAGATCTAAATGCCTGGCAAAGGGGATTTTATTTCATTCCATTCTGCCTGTCCAAAAAGAGAGCATTTTTTTTAACTGAACCTGACATTTAATGTTGTAATTTTATATCTGATCAATGAAGCTTTTATTTATATCAAGGGCTTTCATGATGAGAAAATAAAAGTTACAATTTACAATCCCGCCTGTCTGATCAGGGCACATTTCCCAAGAATGACTTTCCATATGAATTCAATTTAACAGTTTACTGAGTCAGATAAATAAATAAATAAATAAATAAATAAATAAATAAATAAATAAATAGGTAAATCGTTCCCCAGCACCTAAGCTTTCTTAAGTTGACTGTAAAGTAAAAGTGTCACAGACAACTGCCACCACTTCATTGAAACTGATCTTTTCAAATTTTGTTTTTGCATCTAATTCATGAAGTCAGATTTTGTCATCTCCTTACTGAATCACTCTAAGAGCAACCTTTAAAACTGACACTTTCACAATTCTAGAAATTCATTTATTTCTGGCTTTAAGTTGCACATTAATCTTTTCCTTTAGTTCTGCTTTTAAAATATTTTTATTGTTCATGTATGTGTATTTTTTTTGTCCTCGTCTGTGTGTCCATATGCATGTGGATGGATACCCTTAGAGGTCAAACAGAATGCTGGAAGCAATACCTGGAGTTACAGGTGGTTATGAGCCTCCTAAAGGACATTGAGAGCCTATCTCAGATCCTCTGAAAGAGAAGCAAGTGCTCTTAACTTCTGAGCTGTCTCTCAGCTTCAGCTTTACCTCTTTACATTACCTATGTAACAGCCAATACTGAACTACCTGAGGCCAAACTGCAAGCCCAAATGTGGCTGTACCTGCACCCCTGCCCTCCTTCAAATAGTTTACTGTTATAACTCTAATCTCCAGTAACAAACAGCTAGCTTACTTCAGCGTAACCCACCCCCAATCTCTTTTCTGAAGTTTTGTAGACTAACTAATTAATTAGGATCTAGTATGAACATTTTGCAGACTGTGTGGTGTATGTGTGTGTGTGTGTGTGTGTGTGTGTGTGTGTGTGTGTGTGTGTGTGTGTATGTGTGTGTGTGTGTAATGAAAGCTTACATTTACCCTCAAAATAATTCCACTTAAATTTACATATCTATATATCTATATCTATATCTATATATATATCTTTTGACACATCCATATTCTCAAGGATAGAATTTTAGAAACTTTTCAATTCATAGACACATACAATTCCATTCATTCCACATTCCTAACATGACCAAGTTTAATAATCATTCCCATTCACTTTTATATAATCTTTAGAACATAATTCCAATAATGACTTCAAAATGTCTGTGGATTTTCAAGAAAAGTAAAGACCAATTACTTTCTTACATTTGAAGCAGAAGTGTCTATTATAAAATTCAACAATAGGTACTTGTTAACTATTTTGGATCAATGAATGAGCTCACCTGACTACAAGAGGTGCTGAAAGTCTCTTATTTTGGAATTGTGTTAATGACTACAATGTATCAGTTGTGTTGTAACTTTGATTCAATTTATGTATTTCTGTTAAAATTTTCTGCTAATGTGTGGCGTCTGTTGTTTAATGGTTGTTCAATCTGAAAAGACTATGCCTGCCTGCATGCTGTTAGGAAATATCCTCTTAGAATGTGACTGCATTAATAATGGACTTGTATTTTTCTCCTCATGAGTGCCTTGGTTTATTCCCCACTTTATCACCAAGAAGAGGTTAAGAAGAAGACAGATTAGAGAAGTGGAAGATGGAATTTTAAGAACATAAACTGAAAATGCAGCGTCTGACCAGGGCTTCTCTCCAGATACTGATGACACCCTACTGGGACATTATGAGTCCCAGGTAAAGTACATTATGAATCCCCGGGTGCCACACTCATCTGGAAAGTGAGTCCATAGCAAAAAGTAGTCACATCCTGTTTCCCATCCATTCCCTTCCTCCAGTATTGAGCAAAGAGCCTGGCTGCTGTGGGCTCCATATTCTCTTCCTAATCTTCTCCATGCCTTCTGACTCTACTGACAAAGCCTGAATCAATGTAAACTGTATCACTTCCTACAGACAGTTTTGTTGTTCTCATTTTACATGAAGGATTTGTTCCTCTCATCCTTCAGCTTAGCTTCTAAAGCCGTGTTCTCAAGGCAATCAATATGTTCTTATTCATAAGAGGGTGACATGATACCGTTTACAGAATCTGACACCACTTTATTCTACAAAAAAATATTCTACATTTTCCCAGATCAGATGTCTCAGAATATACTGATGACTTATTTCACTTTAGTGTATATTGTGTGTACATAAAGCTACACATTGGTAAGCATCATACAGGTTGAATAGTACATGAAAAATAATTATTAGAGAAATTAGTTATCGGTTACTTACCTTGTTATCCTTATGTATTCTAGTCCTACAATTTACAATTGTGATTCTGAGAATATTAAAGACCATTTATGGGACTTTGATTAAGTCAACAATATTATATAAGTCATGTTAATAATGTGCTCATTCGCCGGGCGGTGGTGGTGCACGCCTTTAATCCCAGCACTCGGGAGGCAGAGCCAGGCGGATCTCTGTGAGTTCGAGGCCAGCCTGGGCTACCAAGTGAGTTCCAGGAAAGGCGCAAAGCTACATGGAGAAACCCTGTCTCGAAAAACCAAAAAAAAAAAAAAAAAAAAAAATAATAATAATAATAATGTGCTCATTGCATGAGTTGGCTGTTTGAAACCTGGGACTTATACAGGGTCACTTGGCTCGGCCTGGGAGGAGGGGACTGGACCTGCCTGAACTGAGTCTACCAGGTTGATCTCACTCCTCCAGGGAGGCTTTTCCCAGGAGGAGGTGGGAATAGGAGGTGGGCTGGGGGGAAGGGGAGGAGGGCGGGAGGGGGGAGAACAAAGGAATCCGTGGCTGATATGTAGAACTGAATTGTATTGTAAAATAAAATTAAATTAAATTTTTTAAAAAAAATGCTAACAGCTATAAAATAAACTTCTCATCAAGAGCATAGAATTTCTTGCCAGTATGTCAGTGGGGTGGATCAATCCTTAGCCAAGAGACTACTCTTAGGAAGGAAACTCACCTCAAGCAACCTAAAGAGGCAGAATTATTAGTCCTTTAGTAAGATACTATATTTTTTTCCCAGAATCCCTACCCCTAATGTATTTTTTCTTTTATCTCTTTTCTAAACATGCATTCTTTAAAACTTTGGGCTTCCATAGGCAAAATGAGTCCTGACAGAATCTAGTATTCTTTCTAATTCCTTAGTTTTTTTCTGAATCTGGACACCAAATTGTTCATAGGAAAAAATACATTCTCATTATAATGATCTTTTAAAAATATAAATACAGGCCCATTGTGGAATGTACAATGAAAGGAAAAATTTGAGGGGCATAGTAGATTTCTCTAACTATACTTAAGATATTTCGTGAAATAATGTTGGAGGATGGTATTTGGGGGGTCTCATTAAATGAATGATAAATATTTTTAGGATGCAGAACACTATAAGCTGATTTGTATATGTTTGTTAAACATCTGTAGACCCTCACTGATGATAAATACTTTATGATTGACACTCCTGAAACTTTTATTATAATATGGGATATATTTTATACTATACATTCATTTATACTGTTAGATTCTTTTGAAACCCTTGATGAAAAATCATTCATCAGAAAAGTTTAATTAGGGTTAGGCCAGGCAGACACAGCGTCATTTGTTAGTGACACTGAATGTTTGTCAAATAAGAACATTTGAAACACACAGTAAGAGAATTAAGGAAATGAGTGATACAAAACTATATTATACTATATTATATGATAAAGAATCATGGGTAGAATTAAAGAAGCACAAACTACCTAAGAGATCATGCCTGGAGGATACATTTGTACTTAAAATCTGGATTAATTTAAAAGTTAATTTATAAAAGTAGTAAAATATTGATCCTATAAAGTTTACCTAAAAGGGACTTTCATGGAGTATATTGGGCACAGCAATTGTTTTATTGTTCCTTTTCCTTTTTTTCCAGACTGACCAGCAATGTATAGCAATTCTCCCTCCTCAGTCGTCCATGGGTTGAAGTTTTAGGCATGTAACACAGTGCAAGGCTGCAAATTGCAATCCCTTCCTCCTACTTCATTTTTACCATGAAGCCTAACCCAGAGTCTGGGTATGAGTCTTCCATATAGATATAAATTTTGTGATACATTTTTATTAAAATAGAATTACAGCATTTTTCACTTACCTTCCTTCTCCCAGAAAGACAAATTCCAGGTGTTCTCTCTCATCTGAGCTTCTTATACTAAATCTTCAGATGTGAGTATAAAACACAGAGTAACCAAAGAATCCAGGAAAATATAGTTAGTTTTATATATAATATAGCTTAGGAGTGGAATAACATTATACATGTGATATGAAGAAGAAAATGGAAGAACAGGGAGAGGGAAGGGAGGTCATATGTATCATATATGATATGTACATATGTCATATATATATATTCCTAACTACATAAATATATGTGAATTTATGATTATATATATATATATATTTCTAGCTACATAAAATAAATACAATTTGGTAAGTCTGTATAATGTTACTTATATGTACTTGTCTAAGGGTTGGCTGGAATGCCTCTTCCCAGAAAACAAGTTTCCATGTTATCTGAAGGCACCATCCAAGGAGGGACGTTAACATCAGTCCTACTAAGCTATGACACGATAAACCACAAATTTGAATAGTATGACATGATAACCATAAGGATGAAATAGTGGCCTATATACCTTGTGGCATGACCCGGCACTCTCTAATTAGACTTAAGACCTGCTCAACAAGAAGGAAACCATGCCTGATACTTGTAATCCAGAGGTTTGGTGAATTCACGAGCTTGCAGGGAGAACTTAGAACTGTTAGTTTGTTAAAATAACATAATCTCAAACTACATTCTAAATATTTGTCCTCATACCCAGAGATGAGTGTAGACCTTGCCTCTCATCAAAAAAACTTCTCTTTTTAACTGAAAAAGAACATTATAGAAAGCCACAACCAATTAAAATGTGGAGTTTTGGAGCCCTGTTTCAACTAATGCATCTACAGTGTGACTCCTGTACCTAAGGCTAAGAGATCATTATAGAAGAGGAAAGCGGGGGGGTTATATGTAGCTAGAGTTTTCCTGCCTGGCCCACAGTCAGGACAAATCTCTCTCACCCGCCAGTCCCAAGCCGCTCAAACCCGATCAAGTAAACAGAGACACTTATATTGGTTTCAAACTGTATGGCCGTGGCAGGCTTCTTGTTAACTGTTCTTACAGCTTAAATTAATCCATTTCTATTAATCTATACCTTGCCACGTGGCTTGTGGCTTACCGGTACTTTACATCTTCCTTGTCCTGATGGCGGCTGGCAGTGTCTCCCCCTCCAGCTTACTGTTCTCTCAATTTTCCTCTCTGTTAGTCCCGCCTATACTTCCTGCCTGGCCACTGCCAATCAGTGATTTATTCATTGACCAATCAGCAACACATTTGACATACAGAACATCCCACAGCACTTCCCCTTTTCTTTTCTTAAAAAGGAAGGTTTTAACCTTTACACATCTCCAAAGTCAGCTTGGTATATTTGGGAATTTGGGCGTAGCTTCTCTTACTACTTCCTGCTGGAGGGGGGCGCTGTATCTTCTGGGGAAACAAAGAATTTTAGGATCACGGAGTAGTCCGTGAGGCTGTATCATCTGAGCCAGTTGCCTTGAAATGGTTCTGGATGTTGGATCATCTGGGCCATGGTGTCATCGGAGACCTTTCAGGTGGTCTTGGCTGGTCAAACCTGATGTGTCTTAATCTGGAACAAATCCATAGCCTCTTGCTTTCTGTGGAAACAAAAGAGACTCTTTTCCAAAGCAACATATCCTTACATCCAAATTTTGAAGTCAAAGTATCTTTAAAATATACATACTGGTTTAACTCAGCTTCCTTTACAATCAAATATTTTTCTATAGTTAAGAATCCCAAAGACAACACAATCCAGACTCTCTGTGTAATAGTCATCTCTACGTGGCTTATTTTTTATATTAATTTTACTGTCTCTTTAAAGACTTTATTTTTAAACCATGTATTTGTTTCTATACTGTATATATCACCTTTTTTTGTCTCTTTTAAGCCTACGTATATTTTACACACATTTTAAACTATTACATCTGAATCTGTCTTATTGTGAATCTATTGCCTTAAACTGCAGCAGCTGTGGCTGCTGGCTCCGCCCACCACAGCTTCCCAACATGGCTGTGGTTTACCGCCAGCTCTGGGAGCTATCGTGGGTCTATGCTTTTATCCAAGCAGCAAGTAGCCCAGAAACCCTTTTTTGTTTTGTACTAGCAAAGGCTAAATCCACCATGTAGCTTAATGTGCCACTTGCAGAGGCCTCATTCCCGCCATACTGCAGGTTGAGCGCGCACGCCAGCAACCCGCCAGTAGCTCAAACCGGCAGCTGCCGCTCATTTGAGAGAGACAATTAGGAACTGTTTTTAGCTCCGTTTTAGAATCCTTTTTCTCAGTTTTTAGGTGGAAACTCTTGCCACCACGTTGGACGCCATTTGTAGCTAGAGTTTTCCTGCCTGGCCCACAGTCAGGACAAATCTCTCTCACCTGCCAGTCCCAAGCCGCTCAAACCCGATCAAGTAAACAGAGACACTTATATTGGTTTCAAACTGTATGGCCGTGGCAGGCTTCTTGTTAACTGTTCTTACAGCTTAAATTAATCCATTTCTATTAATCTATACCTTGCCACGTGGCTTGTGGCTTACTGGTACTTTACATCTTCCTTGTCCTGATGGCGGCTGGCAGTGTCTCCCCCTCCAGCTTACTGTTCTCTCAATTTTCCTCTCTGTTAGTCCCGCCTATACTTCCTGCCTGGCCACTGCCAATCAGTGATTTATTCATTGACCAATCAGCAACACATTTGACATACAGAACATCCCACAGCATTATAAGAGCCAGAGACTCATTTATATATTTTACCTGAATTGAAAATGTACATATTTAGGTAATGTTATGGACTGAATTGTGACCCCTATCAAAGTGCACATGTTGAAACCAGAGCCCAAGTTTCTACAGTGTTACTCTGCTGATCAGACCTTTAAAGACTGATTTAAAGATAGATGATGGGATTGGGTCATAGTGCAATCTGATTCAGTCTTCATAAGGGAAGAGTATACAGAGAAGCATCTGGCACTAATTCAGAATAGAGCATGTCAGGACACCGTGAGAGGCGGCCATCTGCACTTGAAGCAGAGACTCCTCAGGAGAGCCAAACCCTTTAATGCTCTGATCTCAGGATCAGCCTCCAAAACTGTTCGAAAATCAACTTCTGCTGTGCAAGCCATCCAGTCTGTATTTTGCTATGGCAGCCAGAGCATATCAATACAGGTGCTCTGGAATATGTAAACTCCAGAATTGAACACTGAATTTCATTTTCCTATTTAACATCCAAAATTACTCATTTTAGAACATGGCAAAATGGGAGTTCTTTGAGAAATTTACGAATTGTATCTTATTTAGTTAAAAAAAAACCTAAGAATTCAAATTTTTGTCTTAGAGTAAACAGATTAGGCAAATGAACCAAGAAAGTATTTGCCATTAAAGTAAATTACCATATTCATGTAGGCTGTCAAATTTAATAGGATGATTATTCAGAGAACCCATTAGACTCCCCTTACATAAATTTAAACTATCCTTTCTTTCCCAGTCATATTTACCATCTGTCCATTATTGTTCTAGACATTATTCAACACGATGGGAAAGTTAGTGTGTCACAGATAAAATTAGCTGACATGCTCATAAACTAATGTCTTCAGTGCTTCCTCTGCAATAGTTATTAGCATCTTATTTAATCATAGTATTAATTCATGTATTCATTATTTTTAAAGATTGAGTTTTAATTATAGGTATTTATGTGGGTGAATATGCACATGATTTCAGGTATTGATAGAAGCCAGAATAGGGTATCAGATCTCCTGGAGCTACCATTACAGGCAACCTGATATGGGTGCTGAGAACTGAACTCATGACAACCAAAGAGCAGGACTTTCTCCTAATGTTAAGCATTGATCCAGTACTGTATTCACTATTTATATAGCCTTTTACACACAATAAAATGAGCATTGGATATTTATTCATATAATCAGTAACAAAGTAAGATACTTTATTACAAGGAATCCAACAATAACTTCGATTATGAAGGATGTGTGAGTGAACAATAGGAAACAATTCTTTAAAACGATGTGTTAGATATATTATACAGGTTACCACAGAGTGGTCCACTCAGGATGGGGCAGTGGGTTATTATAAATTTGACTTGAAAATTAGCTAGGACATCTAAAAATTCACTTCTGTGTTTGGAACAAGACAACTTGAATCAAGAATGAATACTTAAATATAGCCCCAGAAATGGAACTAGCTATTAGCTGAATACTGACAATGGCTTGAACAGTGCAATTCAGATCTGGAAACTCTCTCTACAGACAAATCTGCCTCAGCAGATGTTGTTTTAGGGACAATGAGACTTGTTTCTTGATCAATGGCAAAAAAAAAAAGTATGCACAGTTACTAATAAAAAGGCCCCTGGGAAAGTTAAGAGAAGATGAAAAGCAATGATTGGTATAAAAATCCATTTAGCTTGTTTACCAACTCACAGCAATGCTGACTTGGTATGTGGAGAAATGGTAAATACTATAAGTGTGGTGTCACATTGGAAAAGATATATGGCTTTTTCTTGCTGATGGTAGTTATATACAGTTTTTCTTAAATAATCAAATTTAAAATCTCAATGAAATAAACAGCTATGTGATGATTAAATGTTAAAATTCTGGCATGGAGAAATGGATTGGTTGCTTTTGCAGAGAACTACAGTTGTTTCATAAGACAAACAAGGACACTCACGAATGTGTGTAAAAATTCCATACCTGGGGAATCCAGTGTTGTCTTCTGGCCTCTGAAAGCACTACATGCACACAGTGCACATACATACTATCTTAGTTAGGGTTTCTATTGCTCTGAAGAGAAACCATGACCAAGGCAACTCTTATAAAGGGAAACATTTAATTGAGACTGGCTTATAGTTCAGAGGTTTAGTCCATTATTCTTATGGTGGGAAACATGGTGGCACACAGGCAGACATGGTGCTGGAGAGGTAGCTAAGAGCTCTTCATCTGGATTGGCCAACAGCAGGGAGAGAATGTGAGACAATGGCCTGACCTAAACATCTGACCTCAAAGCCCAGCCACACTTCCTTCAACAAGACCACGCCTACTCAAACAAAGTCATGCCTACTAATAGTGCCACTCCCTAAAGTGGATCATTTTTATTCAAGCCACCACACATGCATACATATATACAGGCAAACTATACATAGTAAAAACAAAGTGTAAAAATGTTATATATGTCCAGTTATAAATAATTTCATTATTAACCATTACTTGCCTTAGTGTCATTATTTCTTCTAATAAGAAATACAGCCGGGCGGTGGTGGCGCACGCCTTTAATCCCAGCACTCGGGAGGCAGAGCCAGGCGGATCTCTGTGAGTTCGAGGCCAGCCTGGGCTACCAAGTGAGTTCCAGGAAAGGCGCAAAGCTACACAGAGAAACCCTGTCTCGAAAAACCAAAAAACAAACCAAAAAAAAAAAAAAAAAGAAATACATATATATAAGTATGTATATATATACATATATATGTATATATTTTCAAGATTCACATTCAAAATTCCATTTGAGATCCCTGGAAACCCCCACCCATTGCTGCCCCAGTTGCTAACAGGCAGGGAAGACTCCTGTGGTCAGGCTCTCCCACCAAACCCCTCATTGGACCATCCAATTTATAAGACCCATACCCTACCCTAAACCTACCCATCCCTCTGTGATCCCAGTGGCTTTCTGAGATACAGAATCCACCAGCTCTGATAAGACCAGGACCAGCTTCCTGAGACACAGAATCTGCTAGCTCTGATTGGACCAAGAGCCCTGATAAGACCAAGAGTGGCTCCCTGAGACAAAGAATCCACAAGCTCAGATTGGACAAAGAGCAGCTCCCTGAGACACAGAATTCACCAGCTCCATTTAGGCCTAGAGCTAAAATTGGACCCAGAGTGGCCTCCTGAGACACAGACCCAGCAAGCACAGATTGGACCAAGAGCACCTCGCTCAGACACAGGCACCTCTTGCACCTATTGAAGGAAAAGAAGGGTAGATGCCACTGCAACAATACAAACAACAACATAAAGAGAAATATGGCATCACCAGGACCTAGGAGTTCTACAACAGCAAGACCTGAACATTACAGAAGAAGCAGAAGAAAGCAATCTTAAAAATAACTTTATGAAGATGATAGAGGCCCTAAAGTGGAAAAGAAAAATTCCCTTAAAAAATTGAGGAAAAGACAAACCAAAAAAAATGGAAGAAATCAACAATCTCTTAAAGAAAGCCAAGAAAATCATGAAAAAGCAATTAAACATGTGAAAAAAACAGTTCAAGACCTGAAAAGTGAAAGTAGAAACAATAAAGAAGAAACAAACTGATGGAATGCTGGAAATGGAAAATCTGAGTAAATGAACAGAAACTACAGATGCAAGCATAACCAACAGAATACAAAAGATAGAAGAGAGAATCTCTAGCATAGAGGATACAATAGAGGAAATAGATTTGTCAGTGAAAGAAAACACCAAAGCCAAAAATGTCATAGCACAAAACATCCAGAAAATCTGGGATACCATGAAAAGGCAAAACCTAAGAATAATAGGGATAGAAAAAAGAGAAGAATACCAACTCAAAGGCATAGAAAATATATTTAACAAAATCATGGAAGAAAACTTTCCAAACTTAAAGGAAATACCTGTGAAGATACAAGAAACTTATAGAACACCAAATAGACTAGACATCCAAAAAATTCCCTTGTCATATAATAAGTAAGCCACTAAACATACAGAATAAAGAAAGAATACTAAGAGCAACAAAGGAAAAAAGCCAAGTGACTTATAATTCCAGATCCATCAGAATAACACCCCACTTCTCAATGGAGACTTTGAAAGCCAGAAGGTCCTGGACAGATGAAATGCAGACACTAAGAGACCATGGATGCCAGCCCAGATGACTATACTCAGCAAAACTTGCAATCACAATAGGTGGAGTGAACAAGACATCCCAAGACAAAACCAGATTTAAACAATAGCTCTCTACAAATCCAGCCCTACAGAAAGTGCTAGAAGGAAAATTCCAACCTAAGGAAGTCAGATGCACCCACGAAAACACAAGCAATAGATAACCCCACAAGAGCAAATCCCAAAGAAGTGAAATACACCCACACTATCACCAAAAGATTAATGGTCATTAACATCCATTAACATTAATGGACTCAATTCACATATAAAAATTGACACAGGCTAAGAGAAGGGATATGAAATCAGGATCCATCCTTCTACTGCAGATAAGAAACACACTTGAACTTCAAAGACAGACACTACTTCAGAGTAAAAGCCTGGAAAATGACTTTCCAATCAAATGGACTTTGGAAGCAAGCTAATGTAGCTATCCCAATATCTAACAAAATAGACTTCAAATTAAAATCAGTCAAAAGAGATCAGGAAGGACATTACATATTCATCACAGGAAGAATTCATCAAGATGAAGTCTCAATTCTGAACATTTATACCCCAAATATAACAGCACCCACACATGTAGAAGAAACATTATTAAAGCTTAAATCACACATCAAACCACACACATTAATAGTGGGAGACTGCAATATCCCACTCGAACCAATGGACAGATCTGCCAGACAGAAACTTAACAGAGAAATATGGAATCTAACAGATGTTATGACTCAAATCAACTTAATAGATGTCTACAGAACATTTCACCCTAACAAAAAAAAATATACTTTCTTCTCAGCACCCCATGGAACCTTCTCTAAACTCAACCACATACTCAGTCACAAAGCAAATCTCAACAGATACAAAAAGCTAGAGTAATAAGACAACAAAAGGAGATGAAGAGGGTACAAATTGGAAAGGAAGAAGTCAAACTTTTGCTATTTTCAAACGATATGAGAGTATACATAAGTGACCCCCAAATATTCTACCAGGGAACTCATGCAGCTGATAAACACCTTCAGTAATGTGGCAGGATACAAGATTAACTGAAAAAACTCAGTAGCTCTCTTATACACAAATGATAAAATGGACTGAGAAAGAAATCAGAGAAACAGCACCATTTACAATAGCCACAAATAACATAAAATACCTTGGGGCAGCTCTAACTAACCAAATAAAAGATGTGTATGACAAGAACTTTAAGTTTCTGAAGAAAGAAATTGAAGAAGACATGAGAAAATGGAAAGATCTCCCATGCTCATGGATGGGTAGGACTAACATAGTAAAAATAGCAATCTTACAAAAAGCAATCTACAGCTTCAATGTAATCCCCATCAAAATCCTGACACAATTCTTTACAGAACTGGAAAGAAAACTACTCAACTTCACATACAAAAAACAAAAAACCCAGGGTACTCAAAACAATCTTGTACAATAAAGCCACCTCTGGAGACATCACCATCCCTGACCTCAAACTCTACAGTAACAAAACAGTTTGGTATTGGCATAAAACCAACATGTGGACCAATGGAATCAAATTAGAGACCCAGACATTAACCCACACACCTATGAACACCTGATATTTTACAAAGAAGCCAAAACTGTACAATGGAAAAAAGAAAGCACCTTCAACAAATGGTGCTGGCATAACTAGACATCAACATGTAGGAGATTGAAAATAGATCTATATCTATCGCCATGCACAAAACTCAAGTCCAAGTGGATCAAAGACCCCAACATAAAACCAGTTACACTGAACCTGATAGAAGAGAAAGTAGGAAGTAGTCTTGAACACATTAGCACAGGAGACTACTTTCTAAATATAACACCAGTATCACAGACACTGAGAGCAGCAAATAATAAATGGAACCTCCTGAAACTGAGAAGCTTCTGTAAGCAAAGTACACAGTAAATAAGACAAAATGACAGCCTACAGAATGGGAAAAGATCTTTGCTAATCCCATATCTGACAGAGAGCTGATCTCTGAAAAATATAAAAAACTCAAGAAACTAGGCATCAAAATACTGAACAATCCAGTTAAAAAATGAGGTACAGAGCTAAATAGAGAATTCTCAAAGGAAGAATCTCAAATGGCTGAAAGACATTTAAGGAATTGCTCAACATCCTTAGTCATCAGAGAAAGGCAAATCAAAACGACTCTGAGATACCATCTTACACCTGTCAGAATGGCTAAGATCAAAAACACCATCAACAGCTTATGTTGGAGTAGATGTGGAGCAAGGGGAACACTCCTCCACTGTTGGTGGGAGTGCAAACTTGTACAGCTACTTTGTAAATCAGTATTGTGGTTTCTCATAAAACTGGGAATCAATCTTCCTCAAGATGCCACTATACCACTCTGGGCATATGCCCAAGCATTGCTCAATCATACCAAAAGGACACATGCTCAACTATGTTCTTAGCAGCATTATTTATAATAGCCAGAACCTAGAAACAACCTAGATGCCCCTCTACTGAAGAATGGATTAAGAAAACTTGGCACATATACACAATGGAGTATGACTCAGAAGTAAAAAAAAAAAAAAAATGACATCATAAAATTTGCAGAAGAATGGATGAAACTAGAGAATATAATCCTGAGTGAAGTAACCCAGACTCAGAAGGACAAACATGTTTGGTGATATATTGTGTTCCCCAATATATTGTGCATCCTAATAAACTTATCTGGTGTCAGAGGACAGAACAGTCGCTAGATAGACATAGAGGCAAGAAAATGGTGGCACACATACCTTTAATCCTAGCATTCTGAAGGCAGAGATCCATCCGGATAACCAAATGATAACCAGTCTACAACTCATAGCTCCAGAGAAGCTAGCTAACAAGGAGGACACAAAGAGGGACACATGGCTTGCCCTGGAAAGGAGAAATAGATGAGATCTCCATGAGTAAACTGGGGATGAGGGTGGGCAATGGAGGACAGGGGGTGGAGGGATGACAACATAAGAGAATGAGATGATTGAGCTGGAACAGGAATGGAGTGGGAGAGCAATGAAACAGATACCACGATAGAGGGAGATATCATGGGGATAGTGAGAATCTGGGTGCTAGGGAAGTTTTCAGGAATCCACAAGGATGACCCCAGCTTAGACTACTAGCAACAGTGGAGAGGGTGCCTGAATTGGCTTACCCCAGTGATCAGATCAGTGAATACCTTAGCTGTCATCATAGAGGCTTTCTCCAGTAACTGATGGAAGCATATGTAGATCCACAGCCAAACACCAGGCCAAGCTCCAGATGTCCAGTCGAAAAGAGAGAAGAGGGATTCTATGAGCAAAGGGCATCAAGATTATGATGGGGAAACCTACAGAGACAACCAAAACCAAACTAGTGGGGACTCATAAACGTCAGACCAACACCTGTGGAGCCTTCACAGGACTGGACTAGGCCCTCTGCATAAGTGAGACAGTTGTGTAGCTTGATCTGCTTAAGGGGCTTCCTGAAAGTAGAATCAGGATCCATCCCTGGTGCATGAGCTGGCTTTTTGGAGACTACTTCCTATGGTGGAACAACTTACACAGTCTTGAGGCAAGGGGAGTGGCTTGGACCTGCCTCTACTGAAATGTACCAGGCTCTGTTGACTCCCCATGGGAGACCTTACCTTCTTGTAGGAGTAAATGGGGCATGGGTTAGGCAGGGAAGGCTGGAGGGGCAGGAGAAAGGAATAAAAAAAATTTTAATAAAAAATTCCATTTGATATCTTGTATTAACTTTTTTTAGACTACTGAAGTTTTCATAATGTTTTGCACAAGTTTCCAGGTCAGTAAACAAAATAAAGAGTAATTATTTTTATTATTTTTAAATATACTTAGGGAACCTTAGGTGCATAGCCTTAAACTTTGTTCATATTATGTTTTTTAGAGGATTTGCATATGTGTAACCACAAGACTATTATGATTAGTAATATATATCATATGAATGAAGCAAATGGATAGTAAAACTAACTCACACACACACACACACACACACTCACACACACATACACACACACTCATACTCATGCACATACACTCTCACACACATAGAGAAACACTGATGATTCTTATAAATCATAATTTGGAGAAAAAAAGCAAGTCATAAATGATCTGAAATAACCTCCTGAACAATACATCATCTAGTTTTCAATGTATTTGTAGCAGAAATCTTACAAAACACTCTACTGCCTGTATGTGTTTTCCTGGAAAATATACCTGAGTCTGCAGACAAAAATCCTTTTCCTGGAAATAAGGCATATCAGACTATTATTGAATTGTATATTTAACATTTTTTCCTATATATATATAAAATCATGACTATTTCTGAAAATTATCCAGGCTGCCACCCAGTTTTTATATTCAAGTGGTCATCTTGCCTGAATGCCTGAGCCACCTGAGTACCTAGTATTTAAAGGCAAGAACTTCCATTCCCAACTCCATCCACCCTTTGAATCAACCAAGCACACTGATATTTCTCATATTCTGGAATATCACATTTATTCAATTTTTGACAAATACTGTTTTCATGTTTTGTTTCATTTAAATCTTCAATCTTGATTACAGTGGACATGCAAAGACCATTTTTCTCAAATTTAATGGATCATGTATTTATTAATGTCTCCCTATTCTACTTATATTTCTTTGTACATAACCTGTGTCAGCTGAAATGTTCAATGTCTATTCCAATGCATTAAAGGAACTATTTTATAGCAAGTAGTTGCTGAATAATACCCTAACATGTATCTCCATAATATGATTAGTTAAATACCATTCTGGCTAATTGATTCACTGTTGTACCATCCCTCTCCAGTCATGATTTAGAACCATAAAGACAGATGTCACTTTTTTTAATGTGTAAATATTAAAGAGCGTATTTTTAAGTCTTGCCTCCAAAATTGTAGGATTTGCAGAATTTTTTATTATAATTCTTCTTCACTTCTGTGAATTTCATACAATGAAACAAGATAATACATACTACCACATTTTCTCCTTCAACCTTCTATATATCCTTCAAAGTGCTCCCATTCAAAAAATCCATGTCCATTTTTGTTTTGTTTTGTTTTGTTTTACAATTCACTAAGTCCAGTTGATGCTGCATGCACATAGATGGTTATGAAACTACCCACTAGAGCATGAAAAACCCTACTGGAGGCCATGAATATATGAAATCCTTTTTATTAATTTTTATTTATTTTAGAATTTCACATATAAGTACTGAATTTACATCTTATCTACCTCGTCTTTGTTCCTCTAACTCCTGTGCAACACCACTCCCTTTAGAAATCTGGTTTTATGCCAATACCATGCAGTTTTTATGACTATATCTTTATAACACAATGTAATATTGGGGTGGTAATACCTCCAGCAGTTCCTTTCTTGTTCAGGATTATTTCAGTTATCCTGTTTTTTGTTTGTTTGTTTGTTGTTTCTTTTTCCATATGAAGCTGAGAGTTGTACTTTCAAGTTATGTAAAGAATTTTGTTGGAATTTTGATAGTGATTGCATTGACTGTAGATTTTTTTGATGTGTTTGTCATTTCTATATAGAAAAGCTACCAATTTTTTTGAGTTACCCTTGTATTCAGCCACTTTGCTGAAAGTGTTTATCAGCTATAGGAGTTCTCTAGTAGAATTTTTAGGATCACCTATGTATACTATCATATCATCTGCAAATAATTATACTTTGACTTCTTCCTTTCCACTTTGTATCCCTTTGAACTCCTTCAGTTGCCTTATTGTTCGAGCTAAAACCTCAATAACTATATTGAATAGATATGGAGAGAGTGGACAACCTTGTCTTGTTTCTGACTTAGTGGTATTGCTTTCAGTTTCTCTCCATTTAGTTAGATAATTGGCTATAATTTGCAGTAAATTGCCTTTATTATGTTTATATTTTTCTATTGTATTCCTAATCTATCCAGTACTTGTATCATGAAGGTATACTAGATTTTATCAAAGGCTTTTTTAAGAATCTAGTGAGATGACCATGTGTTTTTTTTTTCTTTTAGTCTATTTATATGGTGGATTACACTTACTGATTTTCATGTATTGAACCATCACTACATCTCTGGATGAAGCATATTTGATCATGGTTGATGTATTCTTAGATTTGGTTTACAAGTATTTTACTGAGTATCTTTGCATCTATATTCATAGGAATATTTGTCTGTAATACATTTTCTTAGTAAGTTTTTATGAGGTTTGAGTATCAGGATAACTGTGGCCTCATAAAATGAATAGACAATGTTTCTTCTGTTTCTATGTTGTGGAATAATTTGAGGAGTATTGGTGTTAACTTTTTTGGGGGGGGGGTTTCGAGACAGGGTTTCTCTGTGTAGCTTTGCACCTTTCCTGGAACTCGCTTTGGAGACCAGGCTGGCCTCGAACTCACAGAGATCCACCTGGCTCTGCCTCCCGAGTGCTGGGATTAAAGGCGTGCGCCACCACCGCCTGGCAGGTGTTAACTTTTCTTTGGAACTCTGGTAGGAATTTGCACTAAAACTGTCTGATCCTGGATATTTATATATTTATTTATTTATATCTTGTTAGGAGACTTAATGAATGCTATTTCACAACGGGTATTGGTATATTTAAATTGTTTATCTGATCCTGTAAATTGTTTGTCTGATCTTGATTTAACTTTGGTAAGTAGTATCTATCAAGAAATTTTTTTTTTCTTCTTTTAGATTTTTTTCCAGTTTGCTGCAGTACAGATTTTGAAAATATGCCCTTATTTTATTTATTGCCCAAATAAATAAAATATGCCCAATTTTATTTATTTTGAAAATTTTGCTATGTCTTTTAGTTATTTTGGATAAGGGTTTGTCTAACTTGTTGATTTTTTAAAGAATCACCTCTTTGTTTCATTGATTCCTTGTATTGTTCTCTTTGTAACTATTTTATTTGATTTCAGTCTTCAATTTGTTAATTTCTTGTTCCTCTTAGTTGTACTTTCTTCTTTTTTTTTTTTCTCTCCAGCTTTCAGGTGTATTGTTAGGTTGCTAGTATGAGGCCTCTCGGGTTTTTTATTTTATTTGAGGCAATTGGTTATGGTCATCATGGGAATACCTGTACAAAGTAAAACTACAGTGCTCCAGTCTATTTCTCTGGTAAAATGAAACAGTTTTTTGCTTATAACAATATAAAGCATATTACAGGTATACCACATAATCCTACAGACCAAGCAGTCATAGAAAGATGAAATCGAACTCTGAAGGATATACCAAATAAAGAGAAAGTGATAACAAAAACCCCCAGAAGTAGATTATATAATGCTCTATTAACTTTGAATTTTTCAATGCTAATGAGAAATAAACAACAGCTGTCGAGAGACACTGGATAATAGAAAAAAAAACTACAGAATTAAATCAGTCTATATACTTTAAGGATGTACTGACCTCAGAATGGAAACCAGGATATGTGTTACCTTGGGAACAATGTTTTGCTTTTGTTACTATGGGAGAGAAAATGCTATGGATACCATCAAAATTGATAAAAGTTCAATTTGAACAGGAGAGACCTCTTAATTAAAAGAGGTAATAATTCATCACCAGCATGACCATTCAATTCAAACTAACTTATACCACTAACAAATGCTTTTCATTTAATCAGATATAACTTGCCAAAAGGGAATCTCCCCAAAGTTAGAGTTGGGGAAGGGTTTTTGATTTTGTCTTTCAGGAGAATAAAGGCTAAGGAATCTGAAGAACACTGAACAAATGCAGCATCTGAAGAAAAGGGACAAATCATCCACAAAAGAATGTACCAAGAAAAAGAATAAACTGGCCTATTGGTATATCACATACCTAAAAGGATAAAATTTCATAAGTCTTCCTAAATGTTTGTTTCTGCTGTTCTATACAGACACATAACACAAATGGTCTTTATGTAGTCCCAGTTCAATTAAGAATTAAAGCTGGCTTTGGAGTTGGTTCATGGCTCTCTCCTTTTCTAAACCCAAGCATGCTTGTTAAAAGAAAATGCAAAATATCTGTATCATGTCAGAAGAGCCACATGATATGGGAAAGAAGAAAACCAAAATTAAAGGACTATTCTATTGCCACTAATCTCATAATTCTTTGGTTTTATTTTGACTCTTTAAAACTTTTCTTAAGGTATGAATTTTATATCAAAGTTTATAAGATATATGTATATATATATTAAACTTTTGTCATGATATTAATGGTCATATAGAGTACTAACTAATTCTAGAAATAAAGGCTTCATCTAGCTTCCTGTATATGATTTCGTGTTTGAGTTTCTATCATTTTTTTGCAGGGAATGATGACCATGC